TAGTATCCATATCGAATTCTATACTTAATTCAATCTCAGCTCTCATTTCCCTCTCTTATTTCAGACAACCTAGTGCCGGATTATCTGTTGCGGTAGGCGCCAGTCTTGTCGCCTCAACTGGTGGGACTAGTGGAGGTGGTGTTGCTAATGCTGGTACCGGTACGACTTGTGCCAGTCACACCAGCAACACTAGCCAGACCAGCCACACTGGCCATACAAGCCACGCTATTCCAGCTGGTAATGTTGTCCACACAGTTCATACTAGTTCGGTTGGAGTGACCTCACCATCTTCTGCACACCACCACTTATCTATTAGTAGCAAAGGAGCTACATACGCACCATACACACCTTCATCTGCAGCCACTACAGTTTGCACCCCTTCTGGAACCGCCCCTCTTAGTACTACCCCAGCACCCAGTCCTGGAGCCCCACAATCAATCATTTCAACGACCACAGTGACATCCTTGCCGACACCGACACATTCATCACCTCCATCTCCACCTCCGCCACCTACAACAGTAACAGGGACATCAACTACCTCGACTTCTGGTTCTTGGGCGACTGGTGCCAATGGATGCAGCAGCACCTGCTCAACTACCTCGACATCCGCAGCTATCACTTCCTCGGCGACGCAGGCCACCATTCCGCTTGGACCTACCACTCTCGCGGGAGCGCTAGGGACTGCGGTTGTTTCTTCGGCGCCAGTGGGTCATTTGACCCCGACCTCAGTGATTGCCGCACCAACTACAACTCCGGCAAGCAGCGTTACTAGTGAGACAGCATTCAGCTTAAGTGGTAATGAACTCATCAACTCTGGATTGACTCACCATTCTGGGGGGACACCTCAATCTTGTATTAAACCTTCTGATCTCTTAGAACCATCCACGGAAGTTCCGAGTTCCCGTACGGGTCACGGCGAGATAAGAGACATTCTTGACACTTCATCCGGTGTCTCTGATCTAGAGAACAGACTGGTCAGTCTTCAGTTGAAGTCAAATATGGAAACTCCAGGTTTAGCCAGAGCCTTAGGACCCAGTGTGGCGGCATCTAACTTCAAGACTGGTTAGTTAGTCCCTCCTATTCCCGTTTTTACTATTGAATTTGTGCATGCATACAATCCAGTCTATAGATCTTCCGAAAATTAGTCATATATGTGATCAGGAACCAACTTTTAATGATAACCATTTTCTCCCGTTGTCATCTATTTGTGCCAAAACAGACGTTCCTTTTTG